TCACACAAATTTCAGAAGATGCCAATTTCCAAATAGGGTCCAGAATATACAAGACAGACATTTCTGGCATTAAAATAACATTTCCTCTGTTCATTACTCATGTCCCCAGGCCTCTGTTACATTTCTTTTGCTTTCCATTTTGAATTTTTCTCACAAAAAATAGAAGATTTATGTTGTGCAGACTACTGCATTCGTGTAGAAGTGGCGTAGAAATGGTATAAATAATATCTGGGCACTTGTGAAAGAATATTACACTCACCAGTTGACGTGTATTGGACGCATGGCATGATTTGTTTACCTTTGAACTTTGGCAAAAATCGAACATTTCTGCTACTTTGAGCTAAATTTCAAGGTACAGTGGACCCCCGCATACCGGACGCATCGCATACCGTACAATCCGCATACCGGACGCTTTGATCGCAAAAATTTTGCCTCGCATACCGCCCAAAAACCCGCTCACCGCCCTTCGTCCGAGACGCGTCCAATGTGCGGCCTGAGCCACGCTCACATGTTCCGCCGGTGGCATTGTTTACCAGCCAGCCTCCGCGGTAACATCCAAGCATACAATCGGAACATTTCGTATTATTACAGTGTTTTTGGTGATTTTTTCTGGAAAATAAGTGACCATGGGCCCCAAGAAAGCTTCTAGTGCCAACCCTACAGCAATAAGGGTGAGAATTACTATGGAGATGAAGAAAAAGATCATTGATAAGTATGAAAGTGGAGTGCGTGTCTCCGAGCTGGCCAGGTTGTATAATAAACCCCAATCAACCATCGCTACTATTGGTGGTACAGCTGCTGCTGCTGCTGCTGTACCACCGTCAGCTGCTGCTGCTGCTGTAGCATCGTCTGCTGCTGCTGTAGCATCGATTGCTGCTGCTGTAACATCGTCAGTTGCTGCTGTAGCATCGTCTGCTGCTGCTGTAGCATCGTCTGTTGCTGCTGTAGCATCGTCTGTTGCTGCTGTAGCATCGTCTGTTGCTGCTGTACCACCGTCAGCTGCTGCTGCTGCTGCTGTACCACCGTTGTTGGTGTGGCTTATTGAGAATACCAAGAAACAATTAACCCCAGAGGATTTGCCACCCAGGATAACCCAAAAAAGTCAGTGCGTCATCGAAGACTGTCTAACTTATTTCCATTGGGGTCCTTAATCTTGTCTCCCAGGATGCAACCCACACCAGTCGACTAACACCCAGGTGAACAGGGGAAAATGCCTGGAACTAGTGCTCATATTGGTGAATTTAAAGCCAGCAAAGGTTGGTTTGAGAGATTTAAGAATCGTAGTGGCATACACAGTGTGATAAGGCCTGTTCTGGAAGAAAATACCAAACAGGACCTACAGTACTCAGGAGGAAAAGGCACTCCCAGGACACAGTGTCTCATCAGTCATTGCTGCATCTTCAATAAAGGTAAGTGTCATTTATTCTTCATTTAGTAGAGTAGTACATGCACAATATATATTGTGCATGTACTACAGTGGACCCCCGGTTAACGATTTTAATCCGTGCAAGAGGGGTAATTGTTATGCGAAATAATCGTTATGTGAATGAATTTTCCCCATAAGAAATAATGGAAATAAAATTAATCCGTGCAAGACACCCAAAAGTATGAAAAAAATTTTTTTTTACCACATGAAATATTAATTTTAATACACACAAACTGAAAAAGGCATGCACACTTACATGACACTTACTTTTATTGAAGATCTGGTGATGATTGATGGGATGGGAGGAGGGGAGAGCATTATCTTCTTACTGTTTAGAAGGGGAATCCCCTTCCATTAGGACTTGAGGTAGTAAGTCCTTTTCTGGGGTTACTTCCCTTCTTTTTTTAATGCCACTAGGGCCAGCTTCAGAGTCACTGGACTTCTTTCGCACAAGATATCTGTCCATAGTGGCCTGTACCTCTCGTTCCTTTATCACTTCCCTAAAGTGTTTCACAACATTGTCAGTGTAATAGTCACCAGCACGGCTTGCAATAGCTGTGTGAGGGTGATTTTCATCCATGAAGGTTTGCACTTCAAGCCACTTTGCACAGATTTCCTTTATCTTTGTAGTAGGCAACTTCTTCAATTTCTCTCTCCCCTCCTCTGAACCAGTTTCCCCAGGTCTGGCCTCTTGCTCTTGAAGTTGATCTATCAGCTCATCAGTGGTTAGTTCTTCATTGTCCTCCTCCACCAACTCTTCCACATCCTCCCCACTAACCTCCAACCCCAAGGACTTTCCCAATGCCACAATGGATTCCTCAACTGGCATACTCCTCTCAGGGTTAGCCTCAAACCCTTCAAAATCCCTTTGGTCTACACATTCTGGCCACAGTTTCTTCCAAGCAGAGTTCAAGGTCCTCTTAGTCACTCCCTCCCAAGCCTTACCTATAAGGTTTACACAATTGAGGATATTAAAGTGATCTCTCCAAAACTCTCTTAGAGTCAGTTGAGTTTCTGAGGTCATTACAAAGCACCTTTCAAACAGAGCTTTTGTGTACAGTTTCTTGAAGTTGGAAATAACCTGCTGGTCCATGGGCTGCAGGAGAGGAGTGGTATTAGGAGGCAAAAACTTGATGTTAATGAATTTCATGTCCCCATAAAGTCGCTCTGCCACGTCTGTAGGATGACCAGGGGCATTGTCTAACACCAGGAGGCACTTAAGTTCTAATTTCTTTTCAGTTAGGTAATCTTTCACATTGGGGGCAAATGCATGGTGTAACCAGTTATAGAAAAATTCCCTAGTGACCCATGCCTTACTGTTTGCCCTCCACAGCACACACAAATTATCCTTGAGGACATTCTTTTGCCTGAACGCTCTGGGAGTTTCAGAGTGATACACTAATAAAGGCTTCACTTTGCAATCACCAGTAGCATTGGCACACATGAGAAGAGTAAGCCTGTCTTTCATAGGCTTATGTCCTGGGAGTGCCTTTTCCTCCTGAGTAATGTAGGTCCTGCTTGGCATTTTCTTCCAGAACAGGCCTGTTTCATCACAATTAAACACTTGTTCAGGTTTCAGTCCTTCAGTTTCTATATACTCCTTGAATTCCTGCACATATTTTTCAGCTGCTTTGTGGTCCGAACTGGCAGCCTCACCATGCCTTATCACACTATGGATGCCACTACGCTTCTTAAATCTCTCAAACCAACCTTTGCTGGCCTTAAATTCACTCACATCATCACTAGTTGCAGGCCTTTTTTTAATTAAATCGTCATGCAACTTCCTAGCCTTTTCACATATGATCGCTTGAGAGACGCTATCTCCTGCTAGCTGTTTTTCATTTATCCACACCAATAAGTCTCTCAACATCTTCCATCACTTGCGATCTTTGTTTCGAAAACACAGTTAAACCTTTGGCAAGAACAGCTTCCTTGATTGTCTTTTTGGTGCCCACAATAGTAGCGATGGTTGATTGGGGTTTCTTGTACAACTTGACTAGGTCGGCAATACGCACTCCACTTTCATACTTATCAATGATCTCTTTCTTCATTTCAATGGGTATCCTTACCCTTATTGGTGTACGGTTGGCACTAGAAGCTTTCTTGGGACCCATGGTCACTTATTTTCCAGAAACACCACCGAAAACACTGTAATAATACGAAATATTCCGAGTGTATGCTTGGATGTTAGCGCGGAGGCTGCCTGGTAAACAATGGCACGGGCGGCACATGTGAGGCTGGGTGAGGGCGCACATTAGACGCGTCTCGGACGAAAATCGGTGAGCGGGTTTTTAATCGGTATGCGCGGCAAAATTTTTGCGATTAAAGTAAGCGGTATGCGAAATAATCGCTATGTGATGCCATCGTTATGCGGGGGTCCACTGTACTCTACTATTGTGCATGTATCCTTCTCTTTGTGTGTAGGAAAATGTATATTTCATGTGGTAAAATTTTTTTTTTCATACTTTTGGGTGTCTTGCACGGATTAATTTGATTTCCATTATTTCTTATGGGGAAAATTCATTCGCATACCGAACATTTCGCATAACAGCCAGCCCTCTTGCACGGATTAAGGTCGCTATGCGGGGGTCCACTGTACTTTTCATTGTGAAACCAATCAAAATCATCTCAATTTCCATAATAAGTCTTCCATTCTATAAAATGAGACCAGGAAAACTAGAATACAACCATACCTCTGTATGTATGCTAAAATTTCTAAATAAATAAATAAATAAATAAATATATGAAAATACACTGCAAAGTTGCCGTTTTAAACCCAAAACACAGTTTTTTTTCTCATTATGCGCTGTATGCTGCAGGATGTTTTTTATACCATGCACACTGACCACATAGACCCATTCTTTCATATGTAGGCCTACCAGCTTTCTCTCGCTAGATTTGAAGGTGCTAGAATTTATGCATACTAGTACGGCACCAACCCTGGCGTGCAAGCTGTACTAGTACGGCACCAACCCTGAAAGGGTTAAAGGAGGGGTTTGGGATATTTGCTGTTTAGTGACATCTAAATTGTCATATCCATACACCTCTGCAAAGACAGTGATAGTGTGAATGATGGTGAAAGTCTCTTTTTTTTGGGGTTATCCTGCCTAGGTGAGGGACAGCCAAAATGGTGCAAAACATATGCTGTCAATCTTAAAAAATGCTTATTTGAAAAAATGCAAAAATACTGTATGGTGAAAAATCAGTTTTTATTATACAGTTAACATCACAATACTGACTGCATTACAATATTATTACAACTTTGGATTTAAAGCAAAAAATGTAGCAATCCAACTTTCAAAAAGAAATGGCCATCACAGATGCAAAACACAATGCTATCCAAGTTCAAGAAAAAGAAAAAAAACTTGTTTAAAAAAAAGGTGGAAAAGACAATATGGAGAGGAAACTGTTTTCATAATGCATTTTCCTTCACAATACTCATTCCATTACAATATTACCACACCCTATGAACACAGGTACATACAAAGAATATTTGCTGCTCAAGCTAAAAAAAAAAAAAAAAAAAAAAAAAAAAAAAAAAAAAAAAAAAAAAAAAAAAAAAAAAAAAAAAATCTGGTATTCTTCAAAATAAACAACAATAATAATAAAGCAGCGCTTCAAAATACAGTGGACCCTCGGTTTTCTTGAGTCTCAGTTTTCGTGAATTTTGGTTATCAGCAACTTTTTTTTGTCAAAACACACTTTGTTTACGTGATTTCCCTTGGATTTCGGTGGTCGTATGGTACGTGTCCCAGTGGCCCTACGCACACAAAGCCTCACACAGACGCATTCAAGAATCAGTCTGCCACTGTTTCTCGGCGAGTGAGCATCACCCTCCACGTTCATATGAAACATTTCTTAATAATCCATTTTTTTTGTGCTTGCAAATGCTAAACAAGCCACCATGGGCCCAAAGAAAGCTCATAGTGCCAGCCCTTTGGTAAAGAATGTTGTGGAATGTATTGTGGTATTGGGGAATTCCATGGGGTTGGACGTGAGTGACCAGGATGTGGAAGAGTTGGTGGAGGACCACAGTGAGGAGCTAACCGCTGCAAGAGCAACAGACCACAGCTGAGGAAACTGCTCCAGGGGAGGAGGAAGAGAGAGAGGGGAGAAGGTGCCTTCTTCAGCGATTAACCCCTCGACTGTTGAAAACCCAAATCCTGAGGTGTCTCCTGGTGTCGAGAAAAAAAAAAAAACTTATGATAGAGAATCTTTAGCCGAAGGTAATGACACCAAAAGAATGAAATTTGATGGAAAACTTATGGAATTACGCTCTCGTGAAGTTAGCGACCTCAGCAATATTTACGAATCGGCGATTTCCCCCACTCTGAGCCCTATTTTCAGCTAATTCCATTGTTCCAGTCAACCAAACTCGTAACTATTTCTTTAGAACTCCATTTGTTCTATTGACTGAGTATGAGAAACTGCCCATTTACCAATTTCAACTACCCAATAAAGTGATCAGAAATTGGCAATTTGGCCAATTTCATGCAAATTAAAAAATATGCCAATTTCAAAATAGGGTCCAGAATGAACAATGCAGACATTCCCGGCTCTAAAATAACATTTTCCTTGTTCATCAGTCACGTCTCCAGGCCCCTCTGATATTACTCTTGCTTTCTATTTTGAATTTTTATTCAAACAAAAAATAGAAGATTTACTGTTATGCAGACTATTGCAATATTGTAATAATTGTATAAATAACATCAACCCATTCATGACTGCATATTAGAATGGCTAGTTGAACATTTATTAGACAATGACATTTGTTTACTCTTGAACATCAACAAAAATCAAACATTTCCCCTACTTTGAGCTCTATTTTAAGGTCCTTTTCATAGTAAAACCAATCAAAATCACCTCTATTTCTATAATATGTTTTCCATTCTATCAAATGTGACTACAAAAATGAGAATATAATCATAAAACTATACTAAATACACTTCAAAGTCGGCGTTTTAATCCAAAAACACGGTTGTATTTTTTTTTTCTCATTAAGCACTGCGTGCTGCAGGATTTTTTTTATATGGTGCACACTGACCACACAGGCCCATTCTCTCACATGTGGGACTACCAGCTTTCTCCTGCTTGATTTGAAGCTGCTACAATTTTTGAGTATATATACGTCAAACACACTGGCTCGCAAGACGTAAATATACTGCCGAAACAGTCAAAGGGTTAATACTTTTGGGTGTCTGGAATGGATTAATTGGATTTACATTATTTCTTATGGGGAAAAAGGTTATGGTGTTAGTGAATTTTGGTTTTCGGCAGACTCTCTGGAATGGATTAATCACAAAAACCAAGGGTCCACTGTAAATAATACATAGTGATACCTTGCATATCCGGCCTGCCATTATCCGAACAGGCCCTGGGAAAGGGTCGAAACCGTGTTAAGGCTCTCTTTCTCCCTGACAATGCTCCTGCACATCCCCACTTGTCTGAACTGGTTGATCATCATGGCCGTATCAGAGTTATGTTCCTGCCACCGAATACCACATCACTCATCCAACCCATGGATCAAGGTGTACTTGTGGCTTTTAAGAGGCTATATCGCCAAAGATTCTGGGAGGATGTGATGGTGGTAACTGACGAAAAAGGCAGAGATGTGGGAGCCTTGACCCTGGACAACCTTAAAAAGTACAACTTGCATGTTGTCATTCATAACCTCATCCAGGCCTGGAATGTCCCGCCATCAACTCTCGCCAATGGCTGGAATCTACTTCTTCGTGGAATTAATCCAGTTATTGATATTGATGGATTTGAGATGAAAGATTTCCAGTTACTCAAGGCTGGGAAAAAAACTACAGATGATTACATGCACAATTGGCTAATGTGACAAAGACGACCCTGGTGTGCAGTCTCTAACAGATGCAGAGATTGCAGAATCAGTGTTGCACCCGGAACATTCCGAAAGTGACAAAGACGACCCAATGCCTCCAAGACCAAAAAGTTCAGCAGCAAGGGTAGGTGTCGAAACACTTTTGGAGTATTTGGAGCATCCACTGTCCACAGCCCATTTGAAAAGTTGTGGTCCGTGAAATCTGGGAGGCTGTTATTTGAGCCCAGTGTCTAGTCCCACATGTCCGGAAACCGTGTTTCCGAACCGGTCTAGGACCATATAGGATATGAGAAGTATCATCGTACTAATATACAGTGGTATACAGCTAGTACAACCAATGGACAAGGAAAGGCTTCCCTATGCTAGACATTCTACACTTTTACAATATGTACAGGATTATCTATACATGATCTTAAAGATTTCAGAAGCTGATAAACTATTTCACTATATTAAATGTGTGCTGCCTATCTGAATACAATACAGTACAGTTTAACTATTATTATCTGAACATGTTTAAAAGTTTAGATTTCCCATCCTATACACTACTATGAATTAATGCTGTGGTACTTTTCAATCAGTTTCTTTCTCTCCCCAGGCTTGGTACTGAAGTATTCTTTCTGTTCCTGAGAATATCTTTCCTTAACATTGGCAATGTCTCTGAATGTCCAATCCTGCCAGTTGTCATTGTAGCGCTGTAACAGCTCAACAACCTCCTCTTCAGTTTTCAGTATATCACTATCAGGAAGAAATCAGAAATCCTGCATTATATTAAAAAAATCAAGTTCACAATACTATATTTATGTTAATATATTCCAATATCACATCTCATGCTCAAGGTATGATGAAATTATATGAATAAATGTTCTATTAATTTTAGTTATGCAGTAATATCTCTGATGCTATGTACCCCATGAGAATTCCACATATTGGGATGTCCGTAAGTGTAGATAAATGGTTCAGAGAACTGACAAGTTGATAAATTAGATTCATGTGTAACACCTGGTTATCTTTACTGTGGAAAAGTTTTGCTACACTGTGGCTTCATCAGTCCAATACAAAGAAGAATGGTGAAGACCAGAAGGAGTTTGAATAATCAGTCCCTCAGCCTGGAGTCGATGTAATCATCTCCATGCTGAGGGACATACCAGTACAGTACCAAAGTCTAATGTCATCTGTAAGCATACATCAAATTCGCACATCACTTTCATTACACTTTTCATTCTTTTTGCTCAAACATGTCAATTATATTGTCATAGTATCTGAATGATAGATGAGACAATCACCAGTCTGACTAGACAGGCTGTGTAGTGATTAACAGATACAGTAAAATATCGAACCTCCACTAGTTCTAGTGCTTCATGAAGTACAATACAAACTGACTGTTCTTTAGATGAAAAAAAATTTCTTCCTGTATCTCATTTAGAATAGTGTAACTTTCAAAGTTCTATTTAGTAATCATTTACTTCATCACTTTTTCTATTGCAGTCCTATTCCAAATACAGCAGAACCCTGTATCCGTGGGTCCAGTATCTGCAGTTTCAGTTATCCACAGTTTACCATGGCCCAAAAATCAGCCTTATTTAGCTTAATAATGGCCTAAAGTAAACGTAGTGAAGCTATGAAGTGCTTTCCATTAGTGAAAGTTATTATTCTCCACTTACTACAGGTAATCAATTAACCTTTATAATAGGCACGTATGTAAACTAAAAAGACATATACGGGGTATGCTACTATCCGCAGTTTCGGTATCCCCATATCCCCGACAGATAAGGGGGTCCTATTGTACTGTAAGCTCTAGAGTTAAGACTTCAATTTAATGGACTAAAATAATATACAAAATGTGCCAGGTAAAACTCCTTTATTTTCAATGTTTATTACAGTATGCTGCAATTTTAAATTATGTGCATGGTACTGTATTGTGTTTACAGCATTGTAGTATAATAATCTCTTGATAAGTATAACACACTAATAAAGATGATTCTCCAAGTGTCTGTTAAATCAGAGTAATGTTAAAAATAAAAGCAGTAGGGTACCGAGAGCACTGTGCACACAATTCACAGATAGACTAATAAACACTGAAGTTAAAAGTATAAATTACCCAGTGGATTTTGTTATTTCTGAAGTCTGTTACATTGAGGTCTGTTATAGCGAGGATTCACTGTACTGTTTTGCTACACTTTTTACATTTAGGAACTGGGTCAAATTGAGCAGTGGAAATGGCTCAAACTAAGAAGCAGTGGGCAAAATTGCTGGTGTAAAGTGACTCACTCACTCTGTGCCTGTGTAATTCCAAGAGTTTTCCACAAATTTCCAATTTTTGATGTCATTACCTTCTGAAAAAGATTCCCTATTTCAGAAGATAAAAAAAATATGCTGAAAAATCACGACACTGTCAGCACTTTTAATTTTAGGGTTGTGACACTGAAAGGGTTAATAGAGAAATCTGGGCTTAACCTTTTATTAGTCCAATGTTTTAATGGCAAGCTTAAAAATATGCACCAGCATACTACTACTACCTACAAACATTCTTTTGTTTTAGTATTCATTTTGAGCTATATTATGACAAAAATTCTTCATAGCCACCTTAACGAGCTATTCCACCAAGTCACTTCAACACTACATAATATCCATCTGCCTGTATAGTATGTACTTCAAATCTACTCCTGGTCTTCAACTTTTCATTTGCTTTCTCACTATTTATTTTAAAGACTCCTGTAATTTAAGATAAAATTGTACTCTGTTTAGCATATAAACTGTTACTTTGAAACACTAACACAGTGAGAACTGAAAGGGTGGATTATGATTCCAAGGTGAGCTATTCCTAGAACTAGCAAATCAGTGCACTAACCATTATATTTTAACAGGCTGCCATAGTACAGTGGATGACACAATCCTGCTATTTTTAAGACGAATATAGTGATAGCTCGCTTATATATACAAACAAGCCTTAAACACATTTTGTTTACAAAGAATAAAAAACACACAATACTGTGACTGGAACAATACACAATTAACCCATACATAGGAGACAAACAATTAACTAGTTTACTTATAAACCTGACCTCATGAACCCTCATTGGTAACAGATGCTTTAAGAGTTAACTTATGATTTAAATATAGAAAAACTATACAGTACTGTACTGTACATATATATGACTAACCTGGGTTGCTGTCTAGGCAGTTGAGGGAACTTGAGGGTTGTGAAAATCGCAACACCACGGAGTGCAAACCAGCCACCATAGCTTGGATGTAGACATACACCAAACACCTTTTTCTTGGGATCCCATGGGTCAAAAGTTAAGTCCTTGCGCTGATAGAAACGTACAGCACCAGCAACATGTCCTGCTGTCTGGACCAAAACTTTGGGTCGTCTGTTTGGAGTCATCTCAAAATCGTGTATGATCTCAACACTCGTGTTTGAGAATGCCTCTTTTATTGCAGAAAAGCACTGGATCATGCACTGATCTATGGGGTCACGGTTAATGCTTGCACAGTCCATCAATTTTAAGAATGGAATGAATGCCTTCTCAAACATACTTGGAGTACTAATGATAATAAATGATAAGGTATCACTGTGGTATGGCAGATGGAAGCATTCTGCAACCTGCTCATTGTACCAACCAATTTTAAAAGGGTGGCACTCAAAACCATATGGGCTGAGTACTGAAGCAAGCCTCTCTTGCACCTCCTTCAGCTCTTTTTCAGTGATAATCTGTGCCTCTATAAGCTTATTCACAGTATCAAATCTAGGGGACTTTTCCCTGAGTGCAGTTGCCGATACACTCATTATGAATGTTTATATTAGCTAAAAATAAAATATTTCAAGATTTTGCTATTAGATGACTAGATAGTTATTATAATGCAAATAAATGTCCTGAGCTTTGATTAGTGATCTCATGAAGTGATCTGAAAAGGCAAAACAATCCTTCTTAAATAATACTTTCACTGAACATGTCAATGATGTATTAGTTAAATATGTGTATGAATAGCAAAAAAAGGCACAATATCGTGACTGGAACGATACACAAATAACTCGCACATAGAAGAGAGGAGCTTACAATGACGTTTCGGTCCGACTTGGACCATTTACAAAGTCACACTAACGAGAAGTAGAGCAGGATGGGTATATATAGGCAGGAATGTATGATGAAGGTAAAGCACCTAAAGGCTGGCAGAGCATATATATTATTCCTTTATATAAGGGGAAAAGGGAACAAGAGAAACTAGGAATTATAAGGGAATAAGTGTGTTAAGTATACTGGGTTAAGTGTATAATAGAGAGAGAAAAAAAAAAAAAAAAAAAAAAAAAAAAAAAAAAAAAATTAATATATATATATATATATATTTTTTTTTTTATTTATTATCACACTGGTCGATTCCCACCAAGGCAGGGTGGCCCAAAAAAGAAAAACTTTCACCATCATTCACTCCATCACTGTCTTGCCAGAAGGGTGCTTTACACTACAGTTTTTAAACTGCAACATTAACACCCCTCCTTCAGAGTGCAGGCACTGTACTTCCCATCTCCAGGACTCAAGTCCGGCCTGCCGGTTTCCCTGAACCCCTTCATAAATGTTACTTTGCTCACACTCCAACAGCACGTCAAGTATTAAAAACCATTTGTCTCCATTCACTCCTATCAAACACGCTCACGCATGCCTGCTGGAAGTCCAAGCCCCTCGCACACAAAACCTCCTTTACTCCCTCTCTCCAACCTTTCCTAGGCCGACCCCTACCCCGCCTTCCTTCCACTACAGACTGATACACTCTTGAAGTCATTCTGTTTCGCTCCATTCTCTCTACATGTCCGAACCACCTCAACAACCCTTCCTCAGCCCTCTGGACAACAGTTTTGGTATCCCGCACCTCCTCCTAACTTCCAAACTACGAATTCTCTGCATTATATTCACACCACACATTGCCCTCAGACATGACATCTCCACTGCCTCCAGCCTTCTCCTCGCTGCAACATTCATCACCCATGCTTCACACCCATATAAGAGCGTTGTAAAACTATACTCTCATACATTCCCCTCTTTGCCTCTAAGGACAAAGTTCTTTGTCTCCACAGACTCCTAAGTGCACCACTCACTCTTTTCCCCTCATCAATTCTATGATTCACCTCATCTTTCATAGACCCATCCGCTGACACTTCCACTCCCAAATATCTGAATACATTCACCTCCTCCATACTCTCTCCCTCCAATCTGATATTCAATCTTTCATCACCTAATCTTTTTGTTATCCTCATAACCTTACTCTTTCCTGTATTCACCTTTAATTTTTTTCTTTTGCACACCCTACCAAATTCATCCACCAATCTCTGCAACTTCTCTTCAGAATCTCCCAAGAACACAGTGTCATCAGCAAAGAGCAGCTGTGACAACTCCCACTTTGCGTGTGATTCTTTATCTTTTAACTCTACGCCTCTTGCCAAGACCCTCGCATTTACTTCTCTTACAACCCCATCTATAAATATATTAAACAACCACGGTGACATCACACATCCTTGTCTAAGGCCTACTTTTACTGGAAATAATTTCCCTCTTTCCTACATACTCTAACTTGAGCCTCACTATCCTCGTAAAAACTCTTCACTGCTTTCAGTAACCTACCTCCTACACCATACACTTGCAACATCTGCCACATTGCCCCCCTATCCACCCTGTCATAACGCCTTTTCCAAATCCATAAATGCCACAAAGACCTCTTTAGCCTTATCTAAATACTGTTCACTTATATGTTTCACTGTAAACACCTGGTCCACACACCCCTACCTTTCCTAAAGCCTCCTTGTTCATCTGCTATCCTATTCTCCGTCTTACTCTTAATTCTTTCAATAATAACTACCATACACTTAACCAGGTATACTCAGCAGACTTATCCCCCTATAATTTTTGCACTCTCTTTTATCCCCTTTGCCTTTATACAAAGGAACTATGCATGCTCTCTGCCAATCCCTAGGTACCTTACCCTCTTCCATACATTTATTAAATAATTGCACCAACCACTCCAAAACTATATCCCCACCTGCTTTTAACATTTCTATCTTTATCCCATCAATCCCGGCTGCCTTACCCCTTTCATTTTACCTACTGCCTCACAAACTTCCCCCACACTCACAACTGGCTCTTCCTCACTCCTACAAGATGTTATTCCTCCTTGTCCTATACACGAAATCACAGCTTCCTATCTTCATCAACATTTAACAATTCCTCAAAATATTCCCTCCATCTTCCCAATACCTCTAACTCTCCATTTAATAACTCTCCTCTCCTATTTTTAACTGACAAATCCATTTGTTCTCTAGGCTTTCTTAACTTGTTAATCTCACTCCAAAACTTTTTCTTATTTTCAACAAAATTTGTTGATAACATCTCACCCACTCTCTCATTTGCTCTCTTTTTACATTGCTTCACCACTCTCTTAACCTCTCTCTTTTTCTCCATATACTCTTCCCTCCTTGCATCACTTCTACTTTGTAAAAACTTCTCATATTTTATATATATATATATATATCCTCCATGGGGAAGTGGAACAGAATTCTTCCTCCGTAAGCCATGCGTGTTGTAAGAGGCGACTAAAATGCCGGGAGCAAGGGGCTAGTAACCCCTTCTCCTGTATATATTACTAAATTTAAAAAGAGAAACTTTAGTTTTTTCTTTTGGGCCACCCCGCCTCGGTGGGATACGGCTGGTATGTTGAAAGAAGAAGAAGAATATATATATATATATATATATAATATATACGTATTATAGGTAGTAGGTTGGTAGACAGCAACCGCCCAGGGAGGTACTACCATCCTGCCAAGTGAGTGTAAAACGTAAGCCTGTAATTGTTTTACACGATGGTAGGATTGCTGGTGTTTTTTCTGTCTCACAAACATGCAAGGTTTCAGGTACGTCTTGCTACTTCTGCTTACACTTAGGTCACACTACACATACATGTACAAGCATATGTATACACACCCCTCTGGGTTTTCTTCTATTTTCTTACTAGCTCTTGTTCTTGTTTATTTCCTCTTATCTCCATGGGGAAGTGGAACAGAATTCTTCCTCCGTAAGCTATGCGTGTTGTAAGAGGCGTCTAAAATGCCAGGAGCAAGGGGCTACTAACCCCTTCTCCTGTATATATTACTAAATGTGAAAGGAGAAACTTTTGTTTTTCCTTTTGGGCCACCCCGCCTCGGTGGGATACGGCTGGTGTGTTGAAAGAAAAGAAAGAAAAAGAAAGAAAGAAAGAAAGAAAGAAAGAAGAAAGAAAAGAAAGAAAGAAAGAAAGAAAGAAAGAAAGAAAGAAAGAAAGAAAAGAAAGAAAGAAAGAAAGAAAGAAAGAAAGAAAGAAAGAAAGAAAGAAAGAAAGAAAGAAAGAAAGAAAGAAAGAAAGAAAGAAAGAAAGAAAGAAAGAAAGAAAGAAAGAAAGAAAGAAAGAAAGAAAGAAAGAAAGAAAGAAAGAAAGAAAGAAAGAAAGAAAGAAAGAAAGAAAGAAAGAAAGAAAAGAAAGAAAGAAAGAAAGAAGAAAGAAAGAAAGAAAGAAAGAAAGAAAGAAAGAAAGGAAAGAAAGAAAGAAAGAAAGAAAGAAAGAAAGAAAGAAAGGAAAGAAAGAAAGAAAGAAAGAAAAAATTATATATATATATATATATATATATATATATACGTATTATAGGTAGCAGGTTTGTAGACAGCAACCGCCCAGGGAGGTACTACCGTCCTGCCGAGTGAGTGTAAAACGAAAGCCTGTAATTGTTTTACATGATGGTAGGATTGCTGGTGTCTTTTGTCTCTCATAAACATGCAAGATTTCAGGTATGTCTTGCTACTTCTACTTACACTTAGGTCACACTACGCATACATGTACAAGCATATATATACACACACCCCTCTGGGTTTTCTTCTATTTTCTTTCTAGTTCTTGTTCTTGTTTATTTCCTCTTATCTCCATGGGGAAGTGGAACAGAATTCTTCCTCCGTAAGCCATGCGTGTCGTAAGAGGCGACTAAAATGCCGGGAGCAAGGGGCTAGTAACCCCTTCTCCTGTATATATTACTAAATTTAAAAGGAGAAACTTCAGTTTTTTCTTTTGGGCCACCCCACCTCAGTGGGATACGGCTGGTACGTTGAAAGAAGAAGAAGAATATACGTATATATATTATGAGGATAGTGAGCCTCAGGTTAGGGTGTGTAGAAGAGAGGGAGACTACTTCCCAGTAAAAGTAGGTCTTAGACAGGGATGTATAATGTCACCATGGTTGTTTAATATATTTATAGATGGGGTTGTAAAAGGAAGTAAATGCTAGGGTGTTCGGGAGAGGGGTGGGATTAAATTTTGGAGAATCAAATTCAAAATGGGAATTGACAGTTACTTTTTGCTGATGATACTGTGCTTATGGGAGATTCTAAGGAAAAATTGCAAAGGTTAGTGGATGAGTTTGGGAATGTGTGTAAAGGTAGAAAGTTGAAAGTGAACATAGAAAAGAGTAAGGTGATGAGGGTGTCAAATGATTTAGATAAAGAAAAATTGGATATCAAATTGGGGAGGAGGAGTATGGAAGAAGTGAATGTTTTCAGATACTTGGGAGTTGACGTGTCGGCGGATGGATTTATGAAGGATGAGGTTAATCATAGAATTGATCAGGGAAAAATGGTGAGAGGTGCGTTGAGGTATATGTGGAGTCAAAAAACGTTATCTATGGAGGCAAAGAAGGGAATGTATGAAAGTATAGTAGTACCAACACTCTTATATGGGTGTGAAGCTTGGGTGGTAAATGCAGCAGCGAGGAGATGGTTGGAGGCAGTGGAGATGTCCTGTCTAAGGGTAATGTGTGGTGTAAATATTATGCAGAAAATTCGGAGTGTGGAAATTAGGAGGTGTGGAGTTAATAAAAGTATTAGTGAGGGCAGAAGAGGGGTTGTTGAGGTGGTTTGGTCATTTAGAGAGAATGGATCAAAGTAGAATGACATGGAGAGCATTTAAATCGGTAGGAGAAGGAAGACGGGGTAGGGATCGTCCTCGAAAAGGTTGGAAGGAAGCGGTAAGGGAGGTTTTATAAGCGAGGGGCTTGGACTTCCAACAAGCGTGCATGAGCGTGTTAAATAGGAGTGAATGGAGACGAATGGTACTTGGGACCTGACGATCTGTTGGAGTGTGAGCAGGGTAATATTTAGTGAAGGGAATCAGGGAAACCGGTTATTTTCATATAGTCGGACTTGAGTCCTGGAAATGGGAAGTACAATGCCTGCACTTTAAAGGAGGGGTTTGGGATATTGGCAGTTTGGAGGGATATGTTGTGTATCTTTATACGTATAAGCTTCTAAACTGTTGTGTTCTGAGCACCTCTGCAAAAACAGTGATTATGTGTGAGTGAGGTGAAAGTGTTGAATGATGATGAAAGTATTTTCTTTTTGGGGATTTTCTTTCTTTTTTGGGTCACCCTGCCTCGGTGGGAGATGGCCGGCTTGTTGGAAAAAAAAAATAAAAATAAAAAAATAATGTGTGTACTGTATATGCATTTTTTAGGTGTAGATCTATTGCTCACTTAATATATGATAGTGTAAACATGCTAATAAGGCTTTTATATGCATTTGAAAGTGAAAAAAGGCTTCGATTCACTTCACAATTTTCGCTTTACAGCAGTAGCCCAGAACCTAACCTGCTGTATAAGCGGGGCCCCTCCTGTATGTGCTTAATTGGATTCAGAACCCCCATGATCAATCCTGGCAATGACAGTGACCCAAGTAATAGTAGCAGTATTATGAGACCTGTATAGTAGTTGTGTAAAATTTCACCAAATGGTCCACCTTAAAATTTACACAGTACCAAGGTGGCACTGTAACATCAACTGCTCCAAATACTGAAAATTTTAAGCAAGGAAAAGCAATCAAATCTAACTCTTTAAAACTTATCTCTTTGATCAACTATTAACCCTTTGAGGGTTGGTCGCGTATATCTATGCCAAAATTCTAGCGCCTTTAAATCTGGTGGAAGAAAGCTGGCAGGCCTACATATGAAAGAATGGGTCTGCATGGTCAATGTGCTCAGTATAAAAAAAAATCCTGCAGCACAGTGCATAATGAGAAAAAAAAACTACAGTGTTTTTGGTTTAAAACAGCAACTTTACAGTGTATTTTCATATGGTATTTATGTTGCATTCTTGCTTTCATGGTCTCATTTGATAGAATGGGAGATATATTACAGAAGTAGAGATGATTTTGATTGGTTTCCTGATGAAAAGTACCTTGAAATTGAGCTCAAAATAGCGGAAATGTTCGATTTTTGCCCATGTTCAAGAGTAAACAAATCATGCCACACGTCCAATACACATCAACTGGCGAGTCTAATATTCTTTCTTAAGTGCGCTGATATTATTTGTAATATTTTTACAATACTGCATTAGGCTGCATAACAGTAAATCTTCTATTATTTGCGAGAATAAAAATTCAAAATGGAAAGCAAAAATAATATCAGAGTGGCCTGGAGATGTGACTAATGAACAGAGAAAATATCATTTTAGTGCCAGGAATGTCTGTCTTGTTTATTCTGGACCCTATTTTGAAATTGGCATCTTCTGAAATTTGTATGAAATTGGCCAAAATGCCAATTTCTGACCACTTTATTAGGTAGTTGAAATCAATAAATGGGCGGCTTCTTGTACTCAGTTGATAGAATAATTGGAGTTGTAGCGAAATAGCTATGATTTTAGTTGACTGGAACATAGGAATTGGCCGAAAATAGGGCTCAAAGTGGGCGAAATCGCCGAAGCATAAGTATCGTCGAGACCATTACATTTGCAAGAGCATAATTCCATAAGTTTTCCATAAAATTTCATACTTTTGGTGTTATTACTATCTGGAAAAGATTCTCTATCATTTCATAAGAAATTTTTTTTTTTTTTTTTTTTTAAATTTTTCGACCCTGAGTGGGAGTTCAGGATCAAGGGTCTCGACCTTCAAAGGTTTAAAAATCACACAATCAGTAAACAAAAAGTTCTCACATTCAATTAATTTGTATTAAAATTATTTCATCAAGATGTCAAGTCCCCAAACTGGACACATGAAACTGTTAAAACTGCCTCTGTCAACAAAGAAAGTCATGTCATCCTCAAATAACCAATCAGAAAGGCCTAACTCCTTCCCAAGAGACAAAATATATAACCATGTAGTTCCAGACGTGGGAGCTGGTGGTTCCCAATTACTCGTAAGATGGAAAAATGACCAATTGCATTCCCTTTCAACAATTTATAGAAAACTCAAATAGGTAAGGGAATACAGCTACATAAATCATTACTTACTCAATTTAGATGTGATAAATATGTCTTTCCTTGTAAGACCTAACTCAGGCATACACTGCTGCAAAGCCTCCCCAATGTCACTCTCATTCCCATAAACAGCTGCAGTGTCTGTAACAAATACAAATGTTTATTTCTCTGTAAAGAATACAATGTGTGGTTTACATATTATAAAATACTAATTACAAAAAGAGCCACTATCATGCCTAGCATGACTAGGCATTTCAGGCACTAATAATAATTATAACTCTATAATGATACAGGTCATGGAGCATATGGATATTGCATTATCATTGATATTACATTATCATTGATTTTAAGGATTAAATACATGGTCAAGTAATACTAAAAGCATTTAAAGCAACCCAGTCCTTAACAGCATTTTATGAAAGGGATGAATTAGATCACAGGAAAATAAAAATAGGGCAAAATAAACTGAATGTTTTACAACAACTCCAATACTCTGAAAAAATTAAATTCATGAAGTCAGATTTGGAATTTTTCCCCACAGAAAAAATCAAAAGATTTCTAATTCAGATTTTTTCCCTCCTCAAAAAACTGAGAATGTTTTGAAATTCTAAATACTGGATGGAATCTATATTAGAAAGATCAGATTACTAATAAGGAAAAAAATCTGAATTAAATTTAATAAAAAATGTCGATACATACAACATACACTATGCAGGACATGGAATGTAACTGCAGTGAGTAACATAAGCTGAAGCTCCGAGATAATTCCTATAACACAGGAGAAGTTTATTTACTGGAGTTATGTTTCTAAGAGGTCCAGTACTACTTCAGTGGTCAGTACTCATGACTGGTCAGTTTTTTTTTTTTTTTAAATTTAACATTATAAAACAAGAAAAAAATTATTTCATAAAAAAATACAGCTGTAATTTTAACATTTGCTCATTATATATAATAAGACCTTTTTCTTTATATATTTTTGTAATCTTGGGAGTACCACCTATGAGGCCTGGCCACGGACCGGGCCATAGGGGCGTTGACCCCTGAAACCCTCTTCAGGTATGCCACGAATACTTTTCTTTCTTTATTTATTTATTTTTTATTTGGACATGATACATAGGTGTACAAAGAAATATAGTGATTGGGTGTACATGCCAAAAGCCTCTTGTGTGCAAAGCATTATGGGCAGGCTTAAAATTAACTTTAGATTAACTAAGCAATGATATATTCAGTTGTAAAAATTACAGTAAACAAATTACAACATGAGGTACAAATGAGTATTTCAAATAAGAAGTATTAAAGTTGTACAAATCTGTAGCATAACAATGTATAAATAATTGAATCAGATCAAGTAAAATCAATGATTAGTGCAGAAACAGGTCATATGGTCATTAGAAGAGTTACTGTGCATTCAAGAAGACATTTCTCTTGTATAGTGTCTTACCAATTGATCTGTATCCTGCTTGTAAAGCTGCCTTTATTACAGAGAATATTGTCTCACGTCCACGAATCCTGTATGTTCCGACTGCAAATACAAAATACTGTACACAGTAACCTTTCTGTATTAATAAGTCACATGTACACAAAAGGGTATATAAACCTGAATTAAGTTAGCTCATGCTCTTAATAAACACTTGGATCACCTGAACAACTCCTCACCAAGATAAATATATAACCAAAGTAAAGCAACTACGTATTTAATATGCCAGATTTTAATTTTGCACCAACACTAACCTAGCAACTTCGCCTAACGTTACTAAAATTTATGCAATATAAACTAGTTTTGCTAACAAAACTTATCAAAGAATTTGTATAACTAACCTTTCTACTTCTAAAAGGGGGAGGGGGACCTTCGCAAAACTCCATATTACACAAGCAAGGCTGTGTCCATAAATCTACTTGATGAAATTATCTTACAAGTTTAAGAGATTGGTATTTCAACCTACCAATCACAACTTACATCCAACTAGTGGCATACAAACTCCATTGGAGAGGGCTACTGCTTCCTGCATTCCAACCTGAGGAAGGATTATTATTTTTATTGAATTGACAAGAGTGTTAAACCCCCAGGAGTTATACAGTGCCTAGGGTTGTGGGAGGTCATCAAGACTGATCCAAGACAAGGGAGGGTAACTCAAACTCCTTGAATCATGAGCTACTGAAGGAATCTGAGGAATGAAGTTAGACTTATTACTTGTCATCATTATAATTTACTTAAGTGTAGTAGACCATTAGTGAAAGTAATTGAGGCTAAACTAGATTTTTTTGCTCTTGGTAACATGTTTTTACTATGATCTAGATGGGTGAAAGTACCCAATTCCTGCTTAGTTTTCCACTCTAACCTTCCTCACCAATCCCTACAACCTTATGCTAATCAGTTAATTATGACATATTGGGTAAAGTGCTAAACCATTCACAGGGAAGTTTTTATTTAGGTTGAACACAATATTCAGATTATTAACCCCAAAGGGCTACCCAGGATAACCCCATAGTTAATCAGCGTTACTTTCACCCATGAGGCCTGGGCTAGATTCCCAGCATGGGATTAAGTTTCCAGAACCCCAATAAAAGTAAGTCACTTTCACTTTTTCTGGGTTATCCTAAGTATTTTACACATGTTACAATGCATGATAATTCTACTTATAATTATGTACTTGTACCTAAATAAACCTGTTTACATTTGTATGGACCCTCCTGCTTAGGCATTACAGACAATGTCTAGCTGGCATTTATACGAAGTTATGTAGACTATTCTTGACCTTTATGGTACTCTACCCTAACAAATAAAACTTAAAATATTACAAATAACCCACAATAAAACCTGAACTCATGAGAATATGTAGGCCAGGATGAATTTCAGAAGCTGGTAGAGTAAATTAATTGAAACAGTGAATACAATATTGTTAACAACCAGAATGCTGCAAGTTTTGTAAAAGTGAGGACGTAAATAATGTAATAGGTTACCTGAAAATGTCACAGTAATGCAACAGGTTACATGAAAATGTCATGGTAATGTAATTGGTTACCTGAAAATGTCAAGCCAAGGTTTAATATAAAAAAATTTAAGAAAAGGGCCAAAGACCTAATTAATGAAGCAAGTGAGAGGCAGACTGTGATTTTCTATATTGTTAAAATGTTCATAATTGGTTTACTGCTCTACTATTTAACTTTTGTGTTGCTTCACCTTTATTACTATCACTAAGTAGAAAGTAAGACAGAATTTAAAAATAAAAATAAAAACTACACAACACAAGGGTTCCAATGGAAATGCATCACACTGACTTCAATGGGTTATTCTTGATTAAATTCTTCACAATTTACTATAATTTTTTTAAAAGGTCCATATTATGGATGAAGCTTAGACAAAAAAAAATTTTTTTTTTCTTCCTAGTCCTTCTCCCGGATCCAACCAACAACAGCTGACTAACTCCCATGATATACATATATTTACTGCTAGGTAACAGGCTTAGCAAGTTTGGTAATTATGGAGATCCAGACCTAATTCGTCTGCAAAAAATTTCCTCGCAAAAATATTGTGGAACTATAAGAAAGGTAACCTAACAAAACCCAGCAAAATAATTCGGCAGTAGATATGGGACCAGCATGACTTTTTTACGTTATTTTTTTTTGATCCATTCTAATTTGCCAGGAGCATCAATACTAACCGCTGATGGGCCCCGGGGGTGCTGCACTGCCTATAATAAAACATATTTTTGATATCTCAAAAAATGGCATACTTGTATTATATAAAATAAACTAATACATGTTCTCACAAAAGCATCTTCACATTAGCTAACTTTACTGCTAAATAACAGGCTTATTAATGTATTTCACAATGATCTTATAATATATTATGTACACTACTGCAGTCATGAGGGGAACGCTAAACCCTTAGGAGTAAGTTTATTTAGGTGCAAGTACACACAAATAGTTACATAAATTATCATACATAGTAACGTGTAGCATAATCAAGGGGAAGCGCTAAACCCGTAGGATTATACAGCGCCGAGGGGAGATATGGAAGGTATTCAGGCATAATTTAGGGAACTGGAACACAGATCCTATTCCCTAGATCAAGAGCCCCTCACCAGCGTCAAGGAACTTTCCTCGAGGGTAGTAACGTATAAATTACCTAGGATAACCCAAAAGTAAAGTCATCAAATTCCCTACAAGAGCCCCTCAAAGGCTTCAAGGACACTCTCCCTTGAGGGTTCTCCACACCTTGAAGGTTCTCCTTGAAAGAATCCCCTCAAGGAAGGTTCCTTGATGTTGGTGAGGGGCTCTTGATTTAGGGAATTGGATCTCTGCTCCAGTTCCCCGAATTAAGCCTGAATGCCTTCCACATCCCCCCCCCAGGCGCTGTATAATCCTCCGGGTTTAGCGCTTCCCCCCTTGATTATAATAATAATAATAATCCTTGAAAGAATGTCTGTTAATAAAACACCGTAAGAAGCCGGCACAAACACACGACTCACCAATCTCACATCTTACGGGAACATTCCAAACTGGTACAAAATATCGCCTCCAACAATCTACATTCCTCCTTAATTATTTTAATATACACTCACTCCACGGGTATGACACAGACTTAAATTCTCGATTAATATCGCTATGCCGTATGCTGCAGGGATAATGGGCAAGAAACTTGCGTGGCACCAACACGTACACACACCTCAGCTGTTCTTTTTATTCTGCATAATTAAGGCTGCGAAAATGTTACAGCGAAGGTTGTAGTTGGGTTGAAGGGTAACGACGGTCTACAGACCGCATGAACCCGACGGTCGAAGGTATCAGATTCATTACTTGTTTACACCGTGGGTTTCGAGGATTTCTGCGACATTTAATAATAATTATATTAATAATAATCTTTATTTCTACAAGTGCATGTACAGACATAGCTGACATCAGTTATATACTATATAAAAAACTTGTTATGCAGAGCATTTCGGGTAACTTGGGTTAATTTTGTCCACAGGATGCAACTTATGGAAAATTTTCTAGGGTGATTACCTTTATGTACCTCAACATTACATGCATACAAGTAAACTCATTGGGAGACAACCATATTGTTTACCGTAGTCAACCCGTGTAGACATGTGAGAAAACTTAACCACCCCTGGTCACGGCAGGTGGTTCCTTCGACCTCACAATCTTATCCATATCTATCCGAGACCAGTATCGATTGGATAGCACCCACAAGTACGGTGCTACTAATTAATTGTGGACTGTATAGATTATATTAGTGTAACTGAATGAAGGGGGGGGGTAGGTTACACATGGATATATCCATCAAGGAAAAAAACCTGTACATAATCTCTCCACTTGGCAGACGATGCACCATCCCCCCAATGAAAAGCAGGGGTGTCACTAGCACGTTAAGAGACCATACAATAAGTGTCAGGGGCCCGAGACTGTTCAACTGCCTCCCAGCACACATAAGGGGGATTACCAACAGACCCCTGGCAGTCTTCAAGCTGGCACTGGACAAGCACCTAAAGTCAGTTCCTGATCAGCCGGGCTGTGGCTCGTACGTTGGTTTGCGTGCAGCCAGCAGCAACAGCCTGGTTGATCAGGCGCTGATCCACCAGGAGGCCTGGTCACAGACCGGGCCGCGGGGGCGTTGACCCCCGAAACTCTCTCCAGGTAAAACTCCAGGTAAACTTACCAGATATTCTCTGGTGGTCACTTGATGTAGCTGGATCACTCATAACCTATCCAATTACAACATACCTAACTGGCCAGTATCAGTCTGCTATAACTAGAAGGGTTACTTAACTGTGGGTGATTGATACTCCTTATTTCCTCCATTCACCATCTTGTTTCGATGTCCTGCTACACCGACACGGTTCTTATTCCAGCAGGACGAGGTATCCGTCGGTTTGTCCCGGTTTAGAAGTCGTGACTCCATAAAGCCTTCACTATCCTCGGGACAGGAACAACGAGGTAAACATGTGCACACACACTCTGGGAATGGCAGTTCATATCGCTTCAACGATTCCTTAACTTAGTGTTATTATCACTGATTACATTACGATTTACAAAACGGTTTAATGTCTCATAATTATTATACACATTGGAGGCCACTCCATTAAGATTTGAGACCGATGAGCGATGATTAAATCACGGGTAATTTTCCCCGGGACACAGTCCATGGCGACGCGCCAGTCACCCCCGGTCCTACCATTATTCACTCATTTTACCACCTTATTTACAGTGGTGCCGTCAATCACGTTCCCTCACTCTTCACCAGGGACAGTCACGACACTTCCTATTATGAAATGAGGCCTATATTAATCCTTAGGCCGCTGTGAACGCCAATTTCCTGGTTCCATGCTTTCCCAGCCTCCTCACTACATTCAAAACACTCCCGCCTCTCCCATGCCCCGAGTCGACCTCTACCCCTGCACATCCGCGCATGCGCAAAGGGAACTCTTGGTTCTGTCCTATTGTCAAATACATTTTTGACTCATATCGACACATTAAACACCTATTAGGCGCTATAGCTTCGGAAAATTAAAAGATTTTCCACACAACTTACACCAGTCGGCTAACACGCAGGTAAGTGAACAGGGACGGCAGGTGTCTTAAATAAACACGTCTTAATGTTTCCATCGTACCGGGGATCGAACCATGTACCTAGGTATCCAGTAGCTTGATCGCTAGTGCACTCAGCTCAAACACTGTGGTCCAAGGGGTTCGATCCCCAGTACGGCTGAAAACTTATGTTTCTTTAAGACACCTGCTGTCCAATGTTCACCCATCAGTAAAATGGGAACCTACCTGGAGTCTACCTGGAGGGCATTCCAGGGATCAACGTCCCCGCGACCCGGTCCACGACCAGGCCTCCCGGTGCATCAGGGCCTGATCAACGAGGCTGTTACTGCTGGCCGCACATAATCTAACGTACGAACCACAGCCCGGCTGATCCGGCACTGTCTTTAGGTATCTGTCCAGCTCCCTCTTGAAGACAACCAGGGGTCTTCCCGTAATGCCCCTTATTACTGGTGGGAGGCTGTTGAACAGTCTTGGGTCCCGGACACTTATTGTGTTTTCTCTTAGTGTACCAGTGACGCCCCTACTTTTCACTGGGGGTATGTTGCATTGCCTGCCAAGTCTTTTGCTTTCGTATGGAGTGATTGCTGTGTGCATATTAGGGACCAGTCCCTCCAGAATCTTCCAGGTGTAGATTATGATATCTCTCTCTCGCCTGCGCTCTAGTGAGTACAAGTCAAGTGCTTCCAGGCGCTCCCAGTAGTTAAGGTGTTTGATGGAACTTATACGTGCGGTAAAGGTTCTCTGTACATTCTCTAGCTCTGCAATTTCACCTGCCTTGAATGGGGATGTTAATGTACAGCAGTATTCCAGCCTAGAAAGACTAAGTGATTTAAAAAGGATCATCATTGGCTTAGCATCTCTTGTCTTGAATGTTCTCATTATCCATCCTATCAGTTTCCTAGCAGATGTGATAGTGGCATTGTTGTGATCCTTGAAGGTGAGATCCTCTGACATTACCACTCCCAGGTCTCTCACATTACTTTTCATCTCTATTGTGTGATTGGAGTTTGTAGTATACTCAGTTCTAGTTATTATTTCCTCCAGTTTTCCATAACGGAGTAGTTGGAATTTGTCTTCGTTGAACATCATATTGTTTTCTGTTGCCCATTGGAAAACTTGGTTTATATCTTCTTGGAGTTTACCTGGAGAGAGTTCCGGGGGTCAACGCCCTCGCGGCCCGGTCTGTGACCAGGCCTCCTGGTGGATCAGAGCCTGATCAACCAGGCTGTTGCTGCTGGCTGCACGCAAACCAACGTACGAGCCACAGCCCGGCTGGTCAGGAACCGACTTTAGGTGCTTGTCCAGTGCCAGCTTGAAGACTGCCAGGGGTCTGTTGGTAATCCCCCTTATGTATGCTGGGAGGCAGTTGAACAGTCTCGGGCCCCTGACACTTATTGTATGGTCTCTTAACGTGTTAGTGACACCCCTGTTTTTCATTGGGGGGATGTTGCATCGTCTGCCAAGTCTTTTGTTTTCGTAGTGAGTGATTTTCGTGTGCAAGTTCGGTACTAGTCCCTCTAGGATTTTCCAGGTGTATATAATCATGTATCTCTCCCGCCTGCGTTCCAGGGAATACAGGTTCAGGAACCTCAAGCGCTCCCAGTAATTGAGGTGTTTTTTTTCTCCGTTATGCGCGCCGTGAAGGTTCTCTGTACATTTTCTAGGTCAGCAATTTCACTGCCTTGAAAGGTGCTGTTAGTGTGCAGCAATATTCCAGCCTAGATAGAACAAGTGACCTGAAGAGTGTCATCATGGGCTTGGCCTCCCTAGTTTTGAAGGTTCTCATTATCCATCCTGTCATTTTTCTAGCAGATGTGATTGATACAATGTTATGGTCCTTGAAGGTGAGATCCTCCGACATGATCACTCCCAGGTCTTTGACGTTGGTGTTTCGCTCTATTTTGTGGCCAGAATTTGTTTTGTACTCTGATGAAGATTTATTTCCTCGTGTTTACCATATCTGAGTAATTGAAATTTCTCATCGTTGAACTTTATATTGTTTTCTGCAGCCCACTGAAAGATTCGGTTGATGTCCGCCTGGAGCCTTGCAGTGTCTGCAATGGAAGACACTGTCATGCAGATTCGGGTGTCATCTGCAAAGGAAGACACGGTGCTGTGGCTGACATCCTTGTCTATGTCGGATATGAGGATGAGGAACAAGATGGGAGCGAGTACTGTGCCTTGTGGAACAGAGCTTTTCACCGTAGCTGCCTCGGACTTTACTCTGTTGACGACTACTCTCTGTGTTCTGTTAGTGAGGAAATTATAGATCCATCGACCGACTTTTCCTGTTATTCCTTTAGCACACATTTTGTGCGCTATTACGCCATGGTCACACTTGTCGAAGGCTTTTGCAAAGTCTGTATATATTACATCTGCATTCTTTTTGTCTTCTAGTGCATCTAGGACCTTGTCGTAGTGATCCAATAGTTGAGACAGACAGGAGCGACCTGTTCTAAACCCATGTTGCCCTGGGTTGTGTAACTGATGGGTTTCTAGATGGGTGGTGATCTTTTCTTCTTAGGACCCTTTCAAAGATTTTTATGATATGGGATGTTAGTGCTATCGGTCTGTAGTTCTTTGCTGTTGCTTTACTGCCCCCTTTGTGGAGTGGGGCTGTCTGTTGTTTTTAGTAACTGTGGGACGACCCCCGTGTCCATGCTCCCTCTCCATAGGATGGAAAAGGCTCGTGATAGGGGCTTCTTGCAGTTCTTGATGAACACGGAGTTCCATGAGTCTGCCCTGGGCAGAGTGCATGTGCATGTCATTTATCGCCTGTTCGAAGTCATTTGGCGTCAGGATAACATCGGATAGGCTTGTGTTAACCAAATTTTGTGGCTCTCTCATAAAAAAATCATTTTGATCTTCGACTCTCAGTCTGGTTAGCGGCTTGCTAAAAACTGAGTCATATTGGGACTTGAGTAGCTCACTCATTTCCTTGCTGTCATCTGTGTAGGACCCATCTTGTTTAAGTAGGGGCCCAATACTGGATGTTGTTCTCGACTTTGATTTGGCATAGGAGAAGAAATACTTCGGGTTTCTTTCGATTTCATTTATGGCTTTTAGTTCTTCCCGCGATTCCTGACTCCTATAAGATTCCTTTAGCTTGAGTTCGATGCTTGCTATTTCTCTGACCAGTGTCTCCCTACGCATTTCAGATATATTGACCTCTTTTAGCCGCTCTGTTATTCTTTTCCGTCGCCT